CGCTGGCTCTTCGGCTTTGAAACAGAGATGAGCACTGCCCCCTAGAGTTGGGGAAGTCTAGCACATATGTGCAAGGGGAACTTTTACCTTAAGTCGAGGACTACCTGTATTGTCTTAAGCAATAGAACTTAAGCATAGCAATCAAGAAGTACAGGTAGTCCTCAGCCTACGACCATAATTGAGCCCAAAATTTTGATTGCTAAATGAGACACTTGTTAAGTGAATCACTGTGGTTGTCACATTAGTAACACGGTTGTTAATTGAATCTGGCTTCTCCATTGACTTTCTAGTCAGAAGGTCGCAAAAGGGGATCACATGACCCCAGAACACTGCAACCGTCAAAAATATGAGTCAGTTGCTGATGGTCCGAATTTTGATCATGTGACCATGGGAACCCTGCAATAGTTGCAAATGTGAAAAACGGTCATAACTCGCTTTTTTTTTCAGTGCCATTGTAACTTCGCATGGTCACTAAACGAACTGTTGTAAGTTGAGGACTACCTGTAATACGTTTTCAGCACTTTCTCACTCTTCATTCTCATTCCCAATATTTAGCTATAGCAAGCTGAGCAAGACCAAGCAATAAGATGTTGCCGGGATGAGGGCATTGAACAGGAAAGGTAATAGATCAAACATGCCTTTCTCTTTGTTTTCCCACTCCTGCTCCCAGGACAGTGACAGTCTATCACCTTTTCCATAAATAAAAAGACTTGGCAATAGTAAGAGCAGGCAGTGAGGAGAGAAATGACTCTTTCATCACTGGACAGCATTGATTTATCCCTGGTGGAGGCTTACCAGCACCCATACATTCTCCTTGCAAGAGAGGATACAAGCCCAAAAATGGGATGGTGAAAAAAGGGAAAAAAGATTAAGTTGGATCTTTCCTCCACTTATATTCCTTTGATCAAGGTCTACAATACAGATAGTCCTCGACCTGTGGCCCCAATTGAGCCCAACGTTTCTATTGTTAAGTGAGTTTTGCCCCGTGTTACGACCTTCCTTGCCACAGCTGTTAAGTGAATCACTGCAGTTGGTAAGTTTATTTATTAGATTTATATTGCTGCCTATTCGCCCATGGCGAATAGTTAATAACTATTAAAAGTTAATAAGAATCTTACTTCCCCATTGACTGTGCTTGTCGGAAGGTCGCAAAAGGTGATCCCATGACCCTGGGACAAACCAGCGGTCATAAATATGACCTAGTTGCCAAGTATCCGAATTTTGATCACATGACCATGGGGATGCCGCAAAGGTCTTAAGTGTGAAAAATGGTCATAAGTCACTTTTTCAGTGCCGTTGTAACTTTGCCATTGTCACTAAAGTAATTGTTGTAAGTCGAGGACTACCTGTATTAAGGACAGACTTCCAACATGTCTATTCTCTGATGTATTTTAATCTTCAAGGGGAATGCCAATTTCCAAGTTCCACACATAAGACTCCAGAGAATTCTTGCCAATATGTTAGTTCAAGAAATCTTTAGAAAGAAAACTAAAAAGGAAGCTTTTAGGACTAAACATTAGTTGGATATTGAAATAACCCAAAAAGCCAAAATGTGGCTTATTGGTGAACACATCTACTGGTGAGCATCTCCTTTCAAGCATGAAAGCTAAAAAGCAGCTGCCCCATTTGTTTTAACTTAGTCATCTTCACGATAATTCTGCAGCACCTAACCAGAAAGTGATGTACCATCAGCCACAGGCATCTTTCCTGAATTGCTCTGAAAAGATAATTTAAATGTCCCTAGGCATGGAAGTGAGCTCTACCCACACAGATCAGTGAAGGAAACTAAGATGTGAAAATAACTGGAAGAGGGTATCTATCCATTTAGCCTCCCAACTGAAGAAAATAGCAGAGAAGTACTCCTATTTTTTTCTAACCCTGTTCTTATTTAGCACGACATGTTAAACTAATAGCCTTGCTCATAAAAAGCAGAAAGGAAATTCCATTCATTGCCCATTTTGCAGAATGGAAGGACCTGGGAAAGAGCAGGGTATGAGAGTCATACAATATGGTTTACCCTATACTGCTCAAAAAAATAGAGGGAATGCAGAAGATATCCGAGATCTGAATGAATGAAATAGCCTTATTAAATACTTGGTTCGTTACATACAGTAGTTTATACACTGCGCAAACAACTAAAGGGAACACAAAACTACTGTATGTAACGAACAAAGTATTTAATAAGGTTATTTCATTCATTCAGATCTTGGATGTCTTCTGCTTGTGCTCCCTTTATTTTTTTGAGCAGTATATTATAGCACAGACTCTTGAGTGGTTCACAGTAACCTCACAAGCTCAGGTTGCCCCAGTTGCTTAAACGAGTTACTTTCATACCAAGTAGCTGCATTTACTAAAAGCTACCTTGGTTAGTTTTTCTCTAGCAAGAAAAAAACCAGATCATTTGGTTCAGTGTACTGTACAAACTCAGTACATTGGCTGATTCAGTAATCACATTATTTATGTTGGGTGAATGTATCCTATGATGTTGTCCAGCTATATTAAATTTTGAATGAAAAGTGAATGAAATACAGATTATAATATTCCGTAATATTATCCAGTATTTTTATTTCCTTACTGCATTGTAGGTTAGCTAGAAAGAATAATATGTAACAACCCTCCAACATCATTCGCTATTATTCTATTCCAATGTCATTCACTATTCTACCTCTATTGTAGACTGGGTAGTTGTGCTAAAATACAGTTTACAGGAACCCTGCAACATAATCCATTGTTAATTAAATCCTTTGTTCTTGTTAGCCTCATCTCCAAGTAAATTAACTTCTACTGACTTGAAACAGCGTAACTGCACTTCTTAATCTTCAAAAACATATTTAAAAGTTTTGCAGTTAAAGGAGGGTTCCTATCAGAGCAGAAATCCTTATATTTTGCTATGCGCTTTCCCAATGGAAGAAAACAGGTCAGACAAATCTGGAATGGTTCGTCTGACACATATGCCAGACATGTGGCAGGACAGCCCACAGCAGCTGGCTGTGGGGAAGGGATGATACCAACAGGCAGGGAAAGCACAGAGCAGCTAGCAAAGGGGGAGACAGCATGGCCTCACCCTGACATCCACAAGTCAGATAATCCAGACTGGCATATGGGATTGGACCTACTGCCTCCACTTCTCTGTTGCAGATAATTAATTCCTAGGTTTCTTAACTTAAGTAACTTTAAACCGTATGGACTTCAACTCCCAGAATTCTCCAGATGGCTATGCTACCTGGGGAATTATGCGGATTGAAGTCCACATATTTTACAATGGCCGAAGTTGAAAAACACTATCCTAACGCTATCAACAAAAGAGATATGGAACTACATACCAGCTTTCTGTCGTTAATGAACTTTCTGGTAAGCAAAAAGATGGAAGGGAAAAGGTGGGAAAGTATGGGATATTTTGTAAACGCACCAGTTTCTTAAAAATCCCTTTGCCTCAGGTTCCTCAGGTTTTAAAGAAAGGTCTGCTTTCAAAATATTAGCTGTGTAATAAATTAATAGTTTCTTAGGAAAATGACTTTGGTATTATATGGCTACTTCTAAAGGAACAGATTTCATTTATGTATTGCCACTACTTGAGCCATTGAAAGATTTAAAAAATGGCAAAATGTTTATGGAAACCGATGCCATCTTTGTGTAATTTTGTTGATTAACAATTTTTTAAAAAAATCAAACCCCACTACAAATACATTTAGAACCAGAAGTACCAGTAGTTGAATATTATCCCTTCAGATGCACTTTTTAAAGAACCTACATAAAATGCCTTTTGCTAATCTAGGGAGTATTTTGTTTCTTTTGACTCTAGGGACAGCTAATAATCACATTCAAATGTCAGTCACTTTTCACTCAACAGGAAGATCCTTGGTGCAGAGGAAAATAAATCAGATTCTCATTTAACTTCTCTGTTCACAAGCCTCAACAGATTCCGGCTCAAGCTTTAAATATATTTGGGGGAAGGGGAGAAAAATGCAGAAGGTTCATTCCCTGAACTTCTTCCCACCTTAGGTAGCTTTATTTCATCAGAAAAGCCCTCTTCACCTAACCAAGGTTAATAAAATCTATTTTCATCCTAAAGCTGCAGTTTAGAATCACAGATGGAGGGAATTTAGCAGTCAGAAATATGAACAGACATGGCATCTACAATGGCAAAAAAAAAAAAAATGTGTATTATATGTCACTAGGAATTTTAAACCCAGGAAGGCAGAAAAGGGACTTCTTCTGGGCTCAAATAAATCAGAGCTTCACTGCCTGCAGGGTTAAGGATCTCAGCTAAACTGATGTAGGCAGAAACACAGAGTGTGACATGTATCACATGGTACATAAAGCACACACCGCATGCATGATCGCTAAGCTTATCTCCCCCCACCCTCCCAAACTGTATATACAGTCTACTTATTTTCAAGAAACAGCAAAGGTAACTAACAACTGTGTGCAAAATAAGACTCCTTCATGGATGCACCGATTGCCCTGGCAAATAAAAGGAAAAGGCGGCCAAAAAAGGGGGGAGAGGGAAGACCACGAATGTCATTTGGAGGTGGCAGCGCACAGGGACACTCAACGCCCGCTCCCAATAAGGCAAGCTGCACCCCCCCCCCTCCCAAACCCTCGTCCTTTCCAAACTGTTAGGAAAGGATCTCCTCGCCTGCGGACGGATGGATCCGTCTCTACTCGGGAACATCCGAAGGGCGAATACACTAGTAGTAGAAAGCGAGGGACTTAATCCCCGCAAGCAACGAGTCGCCAGGGTGAGCTAAAGCTCCCGGCGAGGTAGCCAAGAGCAGCAGCGCTGGCTCTCCTCCAGCTGCACAAGGCAGGCAGGGAAGAGCCAACTCCGCGGCTCCCGGGTTCAGCTCTCCTCCCGAATGGGGGGGCGGGGGGAGCCGGACCGTCAGGGGTGTGGTGCGCGCTGCCTCGGCCCCTCGACGGGCCCGGGGCTTTCCACGGTTCGGACGCGCCTTCAGGGCGAGATCGGGCTGCGAAGGGGCGCGACAACGAGCGGGTACCTCGCAGCCGTACAGCTGCCCGAGCTGCTCCACGATCCACTCTTCCAGCACTAGCCTTTTACGCAGCTCTTTCCGATCGTACTTGACCGTCACTTTGCCCTGCTGGTGGCGCCGCTGCTGCTGCTGGACTTGGACCACGGCGGGGGCGACCGAATCTTCCCGGGAGGCGCTTCCGCGAGGGCTCTGAAAGAAAACGCGGGTCCCTCCGCCGGCGCCTCCCCCGGTGGTGGCGGCGGCGGCGGTGGCGGCGGGGCCCGGTTCGCTCCCTCCGGTAACCACCGACATGTTCCAGCTCAGCCTCGTGGGCAGCAGATCCCTTCCTCCGGGCGGGCGATCGGTGCTTCGGGGAGCGCCGCCGGAGCTAGCGGTATGGCTGCCGACGAAGATGACCTCCTCCGGCCACGCCGCCGCCACCGCCACCGCCGCCGTGAGGGAGCGCTCGCCTGCCTACACCTGCAGCTCGTAGCCTCTCACGGCACTGCTCGCTCCTCCGCTGCCGGTTCGGCAGGAGGAAGGCGGGCTGTCCAGCAGTCTGAAAACGGGGCGGGGACAACGCCTTAAAGACACGGCCAGCGCCTCGCTACGCCACACATTTGCTCCTTGTCGGTCCTTCAGGGCCGCTCCTGACTTTTCCCGCCCTCCCGACGGCTCTCCTGCGCCTTTAAGGCGATTGCAGAGCTACTACTTTTGGGGCCGACTTAGAGCTGCTGGGGGTTTGGGCTGAAATGCGCTCGGTAGAGCTTTGCCCTCCAGTTCACGCAGCTCTTTGAAGGACAGAAGTCGTACCAGGGTGAAACACGTCTATCCCGGCTGATCTTTTTCTCTGATGCTAACATAATTTGGGTTCCGATAAATGTTTGTGTGGGACTTCAGAAGTCTCTTACATCCGTCAAGCAATCTAGAAGACACCACAGCGGGCGAACATATTCATGCAGCTGTGTAAATGCAAATCTTGATTTACAAGCCACAAGTAAACAAACCACAGTTTGCTTATTTGTGGCTTGTAAATCAAGATTTGCATTTAAGCCACACATTTATCTGTATGTGTGAGCAAAGGCAGTTTGGGCTTACCGAAATAATTAGGAGTAGGCAAACTATGGATTTACATGGGTGATTGAAATCTGTTTCCATGAAAAACCATAGTTGGCTTACCTGTGGTTTGTTGACTAAATTGCATTCATACAAATTCATGCATAATTAGAGAATAAGGCCGTGTGCAATCTGTGAATTCAGGTTTAAAGTAGTATGATTCTAATAGAAAATATTTATAGCTCAGGATTGACATGCGGGGTCCTTGGTGGTCTCTGAGCTTGCTTATTTTCTTGCCGACATTTCATACCCAAACTAAGTAACATCATCAGTGCTAGTAACACCGCACTCCTTACTGGCACTGATGATATTACCTAGTTTGGGTAATGAAATATTTGCAAGAACAAAAGCAAGCTCAGAGAACACCAAGGACCCCTCGTAGTATGATTCTTCTGCAAGCAGGCATGTTTGGTCAATTTGGCAACTTGGTTTCTGTTCTTGGGAATTTAAATCAATAGTAAGGAAAATAACATTTGGATGGTCTTGTGAAAGTCTCTGCATTTGGGAGTACATAAAACACAGCTGCCATTGAATAATATATCTTAACATTGCAGACACAATAACTGGAGCATATTAAATTCCCTTGCATTTATTTCTACTGTTATTCTCTGAATCTGTCTAAATCCTTCATAGTGTGATGCTCCAAATTGTACACAATAATTCAACATGCGATTTGACCAACACAATGAAATGGAGCACTTCCGTCCTGTGATTTGAAAAGTATACAGATTGTGCTTGCCTTTTTTCCAGCCACATTGCAACATTCACTCATATATTGTATGCAATTATCTACTTTTTCAAAATGTTTGCATACGTTCTATTTCCAAGACGTTACCATGTCCTTCATCCAATACCTGTAGATTTGATTTATGATTTCTAAGGGAAGAAATGTGCATTTGATTCTGTTAAATATCATTACGTTATCCTCAGGGAGAAAGTATTCAAGCAAGGAATATAATTATGTAATTATACAAAGTACTAGATAATTGCAATAGAAAATACCTAACTTTGATGACTAAAAAGCAAAGGCTGACATCTTAATTAGATGCAATATTCTAAAAACCACAATAACTAATACATATTACGGTTAAGCCAAATAAAGGGTCACAAAATGTACAAGCTTTCAAAGATCTCCAGATTTTTTTTTCTTAACTTATTACAGAAAGCACCTGCGGAATGTGAAGAAAAAGAATAAAAGAATTTATATTTAATTTAAATAATAAATTCTTCCTAGTCAAGTGCAAGATAGAATGTAGGAAATGACTAGAGATTCAAATTAAGCTCTCTCTGTTAATTGTGACTGTATACAGAACTCCCTCAAAGGTTGTCATTATGAAAATACTAACAAGTATCTGTACCTAGTGAGACAGAATGAAGTCCTTGACTTACAACAGTTCATTTAGTGACTGTTTGACGTTACAACATCACTTTAAAAAGTGACTTATGACCATTTTTCACACTTTTGCACGGTTGCAACATCCTCATGGTCACATGATCAAAATTCAGATGCTTGGCAACTGATTTATGACCTTTGCAGTGTCGTGGGATCATATGGTCCCCTTTTACGACCTTCTGACAAGCAAAGTTAATGGGGAATCCAGAATCACTTAACAACCATGCTGTTAACTTAACAACTACAGTGATCCACTTAACAATTGTTGCAAGAAATTGCCCACAATTTCTTAATTGGGGCAAAACTCACTTAACAAATGTCTTACTTAGCAACATAAATTTTGGGCTCAGTTGTGGTTATAACTCAAGGACTACCTGTAATACTTATAAAAAATAAAGGTTTCCCCTGTCCAGTCGGGTTTGATTTTTGAGGCCAGTGCTTATCTCCATTTCTTAGCCAAGCAAGACAGCATTGTCCAAAGATGCTTCTGTGGTCATGTGGCCAGCAGCCAAGGAACACTGATACCTTTCCAACGAAGTGGTACCTATTTTTCTACTCACGTTTGCATGCTGTCCAACTGCTAAGTGGGCAGGAGCTGCAGCAAGTAACAGAAGTTCACCCCATAGCATGGTGCTCGGGTCTTGAACCCGAGCAGTCAGCTTTCCTGCTGACAAGCTCGGTGCCCACTTCCCCAAGAGTAATATTTATAACATCATGATAATAGTAATGTCTTTAAAAATAGCATACTTGGCTACTTCTTTAGCATAACACAGCAAATATATTATTATTCCATTTCCTCAGTACCAGCACTGAATCAGAAAACCAAGTTTTAAATAAAAACTATGTCTCTTACTATCCCTGGTACATGATGACTTGGGGAAGGTAATCCATCATTGTTGGGAGGAGAACAGTCTAACTATGTTCAGCCAAGCATGCTTCAAGAATAAATATTAGAAGGAGAGAGCAACCAAGTAAAATTTGCAGCTCCCTCACAACTGTGCCTCATCTTCCATTCCCTTTGGCAGGTTCATGCATCATACTAAGCTATCATATAGCCTATGGATGTTATGTAAACTTAGTTATCGTAATTTGATTATAATTTATGGCATATTCTACAAAGTCAGCCAGCTAGGTATTTTCAAGAAACAATACTTAAAACCACAGATCAGCACAATATGTGAATGTAAGCATTCTAATAGCTTGGGGTCACATCAAACTGAACGAAATTAGCACTTGCTAAACCATAATTCTGATTCCCTTTTCCTGCCACTGAAAACAATGATCAACATTGATTCATTCATTTAATCAAGTTATTTGGTGGCCCACTTCCCAGAGAGATTCTGGGTGGCTAACAAGATATTAAAAAGCGATTAATGAAATTTTAAAAAACCAGACGTACATTCTGGCTGTTAAAACATATTATACCATTTTCCAAGTTGGGTATAATTCACATCCCAAATCTGCCAGAAGGTGAAAAATGAGCAAGGTGTTGGATGACCTATAAAGTGACTTTCAATCGTAGGCATCCACAGAGGGACAAGACAATGGGGATAAATGGCACGTGCACAATGACATTGTGTAATGCCATGACTGCATTATCATGACTTATGTACTTGTGTCAGATGTTATGATGCAGTACATAATTACATGGGTGTCTGCTGCTATCTGCAATGATATCAAAATGACAAATGTCATGATATAAGCTCCATACATGCATCTTAACATCACATGCAAAGGGTGAGTTTGTTTTGTGATGTCACTTTTGTCACTTGCCCCCAACTCTGTCTTCCATGGGTACATACGTACAGCTGTGGTATTTGTATGATGATATCAGCATGTAGGCATCATTTTGGACATTGCTGTGATTTGTTATGGGTACTGCCTCTTACAATTTATACATGCTATAAAAAGGGCAAAAAAGCTTTCTGCTATCAGATGCCATTTTATTTCCAATGAAATGAATTGAAATTGTCATCAATCTTGAATAATTTGCTATTCACACAAACTAATTACAAAGCTTCAATCCCAATAAGATGATCTTTGGGGAACCCAAATTAACATTAAGCCTCATATTGTGGACAACAGTTAGCTTTATTACAGAATGTTCTCTGTACAAAATGGGCCTTTTGTGCGTGAGAGAGAGAGGGGGAGGGAGATAGAGGGAGAGAGTTGTTCTAATATTCTTCCAGGCTCTTATAAAGTTTGATCAGTCCACCTAAGCACTCCAATACGTTCTTTCTACAATTTTAGTCCACCATATCATGGAAGTAGTACTTCAGTATAGCTTCTGCAGGTGTCTAAACCATTGTTTCCACTGTACTGTTTTCAGTATTTCTCAATTTCAGCAGTGTTAAGATATATGGACTTCAACTCCCAGGATTCGTCAGCCAGCCATGGGGAATTAAAGTAGCTGAAACAGAGAGCACTGGTTTAAGTCAAAGGGTTAACACATTCGTCTTTAAAGTCAGCAAGGCTCAAGGGCATATCAAAATCAATACTTTTGTACCAGAACCAATACGACTTTAATTGTCTGTCACGGTTGTGCTGTTGTTTAAAACCTTTTTGCATTATTGATTTTTCACCTTTTCCCCTTAAAAAATAACCAATTTTCACCTCCTTATAAATGAAGCAAAATTCTTTTTTCTTTATAGCCATACATACAAATATGTCCGAGTTAACATACTGTTTTGTTTTGCATGACTGTGAAGGGAAAAAGAGCAGAGAATATATAGATCACTGGTGCTCATCTACTCTTTAAAAAATAGAAGCATAAATGCATGCCTTAGGTCAGAAAGTTAATCTTTGCCAGTGAAGAGCATCCAAAAGTCAGGGGTCTAGTAGCACCTTTCAGATTAACACATTTTATTAAAAAAAAACATGTTTTCTGAACTGATTCTGCCTTTTAATAAAGTATGCTAGTCTGAAAAGTACTACCAGATTCTTTCTGCTTTACTAATATCCGATTTTCCTTTAATTCCTTCCCCTGTCTGACTCTTCCCCCCACCCCCGACATACTTTTCATTGAATGAATGAGAATATTTAACCAATATACCCTAGGTCTATGTAACAGAATATATAGCAAAACAAATTAATCCTATGCATCTGTCATTGAGGTCACCTCCAGTGAATATAATGGGGCTTAATTCTGA